TCAATTGTTTGCGTAAGGTATTACATGGATTTTGCTCCACTCAGGTAGGCTATGGAAGCAACAAACGCGTTGCAGTATCAATATGTATCCATATTTAAGAATGTCTTGCCACCAAGTAATCTCCCAGCTTTCGTTAACCCGCCGCCAGGACGCTTCCACGTCTGTTTTACCGCTGGAACAGCATTAGAGAAGCTGATGCCGCTGCAACCCCACAACTTCCAATTTGTTGCTACTATTCATCCAAAGACTCTGGGAGCAGCAGTAACACAACTAACAAATATTTACCTCAGTTTTGCCGGCGTTGATTAGACCAGATCCAAGTTCCTGATAGGTGGAAACTTGGAATATTATATCCGATTTGCAAAGGCGGTAGGTGAATTGAGCTTTCAAACTACGGCCCAGTGTCTATTCACTTTATACTGTTCAAGGCAATAGAATCCATGGTTGCCGATATGCTGGTGTGTTGTCTGGAAAGCTGTAGCATTTTTACTCCCCAACAGCACGGCTCCCGTCGACAGCGATTTTGCACATCAAATTTTATTGTCACACGGCCCGAGTCATTTGATGCTGGAGAAGAGGTTGTTATTATCTACCTAGCTGTACTAAAAGACGTTCGGTGTTTCAGATTATCACGTGTACACGCGTTTTAATTTCTCGGCCCAGACCGTGCGTATAGTATAGGTTTATTACCTCACAGTTGCTTGACTCATCTAGTGCGACTATATAATCTAAGCTTCGTATGGTTGGCGGCATCCGGTTTCGGATTTACCTGTCACTGTGACCAGCCACAGGACGCCTGCGCCTACAGAGGGACCATGGTTGGCTTGCGCTGCACCACCCACAGCTCCAACCACACCCCATATCCAGTGTAAACCCGAAGGAATAAGACCGGGAGGCATGCGCATGGGAGCCAGCTTTCATCAACGGAGCCGGCCCACACTCCTTCACAGGCAAACACAAGCACGCTGTATTTGGGGAATCAAGCGCACACAAGGCGGTGGCTGGATCGTAGTCGGCTCCACACTGAGTGTCTGGAACGGCTCTTTGAGCTTGGCATGGCCACAAGGAACATGCACCCCGTCCCCTCCAGCAACGACCGACCGTCTCCTGGAGCCAGTATGGACGAGGTAGTGGGTAATAGACAGGTAGGCACCTTGTCAACATGCACATCACGCACAGCCACACCGGGGATATCAAACAACAGTCATTCACTTTAAACGACAAGCTGAACTAAAATAAATCCAGTAATGCATACAGATACGGTGGCGCAACTCTTCGCTAAATTAACACATG